GGCAGTATAGTCATGTTTTATAATATTGAGTATACCCATCCATGAGCATAGGATGTTTCCATTTGTTTGTGTTGTCTGTTTTTTTCCAGCAATGTTTTGCAGTTTTCCTTGTAGAGATCTTTCACCTCCTTGGTTAGGTATATTTCTAAGTGTTGTGTTGTGTTGTATTTATTTATTTCCATATCTGCTGTAAAAGGGGTTGAGTTCTTGATTTGATTCTCAACTTGGTCACTGTTGGTATACTTCAGTGCTACTGATTTGTGTACATTGATTTTGTGTCCTGAAACTTTGCTGCACATTTATCAGAGCTAAGAGCTTTTTAGATGAGTCTTTAGGTTTTTCTAGGTACACAATCATATCATCAGTGAACAGTAACAGTTTTACTTTGTCTTTACTGGTTTGGATGCCCTTTATTTTATTCTCTTGTCTGATTGTTTTGGCTTGGACTTCCAGTACTACGCTGAATAGAAGTGGTGAAAGTGGGAATCTTTGTCTTGTTACAGTTCTCAGGAGGAACGCTTTCAACTTTCTGCCATTCAGTATAATGTTGGCTGTGGGTTTGTCATAGATGGTTTTTATTATCTTAAGGTATGTCTCTTCTATGCCAATTTTTTAATCATAAAGGGATGCTGGATTTTGTCAAATGCTTTTCCTGTACCTATTGAGATGATCATGTGATTTTTGTTTTTAATTAAGTTTATGTGGTGTATCACATTTGTTGACTTGCGTATGTTAAACCATCCTTGCATCCCTGATATGAAACCCACTTGATCATGGTGGATTATCTTTTCGATATGCTGTTGGATTCAGTAAGCTAGTATTTTGTTGAGAATTTTTGCATCTATGTTCATACTGGTTTGCAGTTTTCTTTTTTTGTTATGTCCTTTCATGGTTTTGGTATTAGGATGATACTGGCTTCATAGAATTTTTTAGGGAGGATCCCTTCTTTATCTTTTGGAATAGTTTCAGTAGGATTGATACCAATTCTTCCTTGAATGTCTGATAGAATTCAGCTGTGAATCCATCTGGTCCTAAACTTTGTTTTGTTGGCAATTTTTTTTATTAGTGTTTCAATGTTGCTGCTTGTTATTAGTCTGCTCGGAGTTTCAATTTCCTTCTGGTTTAATCTAGGAGTGTTGTATATTTCCAGGAATTTATCCATCTCCTCTAGGTTTTCTAGTTTGTGTGCATAAAGGTGTTCATAGTAGCCTTGAATGATCTTTTGTGTTTCTGTAGTGTCAGTTGTAGTATCTCCCATGTCATTTCTAATTGAGCTTATTCAGATGTTCTTTCTTCTTGGTTAATCTCACTAATGAGCTATCGATTTTGTTTATCTTTTCAAAGAATCAGCTTTTTATTTTATCTTTTGTATTGTTTGTTTTAATTTCATTTACTTCTGCTTTGATCTGTATTATTTCTTTTCTTATGCTGGGTTTGGGTTTGGTTTGTTCTTGTTTCTCTACTTCCTTGAGGTATGAGCTTAGATTGTCTATTTGTGCTCTTTCAGGCTTTCTGATGTAGGCATTTCATGCTATGAACTATCCTCTTAGTACCACTTTTGCTGTATCCCAGAGGTTTTAATACATTGTGTCACTATAATCATTCAGTTCAAAAAATATTTTAATATTCATCTTGATTTTATTGTTGACCTAAAGATCATTCAGAAACAGATTATTTAATTTCCATGTATTTGTATAGTTTTGAGGGTTCCTTTTGCTGTTAATTTTCAATTTTATTCCATTGTGGCCTGAGAGAGTACTTGATATGATTTTGATTTTAAAAATTTATTGAGGCTTGTTCATGGCCTATCGTATGGTCTATCTTGAAGAATGTGCCATGTGCTCATGAAAAGAATGTATATTCTGTAGTTGTTGTGTAGAATGTTCTGTAAATATCTGTTAAGTCCATTTATTCTAGGGTATAGTTTAAGTCCATTGTTTCTTTGTTGACTTTCTGTCTGGATGACCTGTCTAGTGCTATCAGTGGAGTATTGAAGTCCTCCACTATTACTGTGTTGTCTCCTGTCTCATTTCTTAAGTCTAGTAGCAATTGTTTTAAAAAATTGGGAGCTCCAATGTTAGGTGCATATATATTTAGGATTGTGCTATTTTGCTGTTGGACTAATTCTTTTATCATTATATAATGTCCCTCTTTGTCTTTTTTAACTATAGTTGCTTTAAAGTCTGTTTTGTCTGATTTAAAAATTGCTACTTCTGCTTGCTTTCGGTTTCCATTTGCATGGAATATCTTTTTCCACCCCTTTACCTTAAGTTTATGTGAGTACTTATGTGTTAGGTGAGTCTCCTGAAGAAATCAGATACTTGGTTGGTGGATTTTTATCCATTCTGCCATTCAGTATATTGTAAGTGGAACATTTAGGCCATTTACATTATACATTAGTATTGAGATATGAGGTACTGTTCTATTCATTTAGTTGCCTGAAGACCTTGTGGGTTTGGGTTTTTTTTTTTTTTTTCATTATGTTATTGTTTATAGGCCCTGTGAGATTCATGCTTTAAGGAGGTTCTATTTTTGTGTATATTTTGAGGGACAGTTTCAAGATTTAGAGCTCCTTTTAGCGGTTCTTGTAGTGCTGGCTTGGTAGTGGTGAGTTCTCTCAGCATTTGTTTGTCTGAAAAAGACTTTATCTCTCCTTCACTTATGAAGCTTAGTTTCGCTGGATACAAAATTCTTAGCTAATAATTATTTTGTTTAAGGAGGTCAAAGATAGGACCCCAATCCCTTCTGGCTTGTAGGGTTTCTGCTGAGAAATCTGCTGTTAATCTGATAGGTTTTCCTTTATAGGTTACTTGATGCTTTCACTTCATAGCTCTTAAGATTCTTTACTTTGTCTTGATTTAGATAATCTTAATTACTATGTGCCTAGGTGATGATATTTTGTGATGAATTTCCCAGGTGTTCTTTGAGCTTCTTGTATTTGGATGTCTAGATCTCTAGCAAGGCCAGGCAAACTTTTCTCGATTATTCCCTCAAAGAATTTTTCCAAACTTTTAGATTTCTCTTCTTCATTGGGAACACCAATTATTCTTATGTTTGTGGTTTAGCATAATCCCAAACTTCTTGGAGGATTTGTTTATTTTTTTAATTATTTTTTTCTTTGTCTTTGTTGGATTGGGTTAATTTGAAAGCCTTGTCTTTAAGCTCTGAAGTTCTTTCTTCTACTTGAGTCTATTGTCGAAATTTTCTTGCATATTTTGCATTTCTTTAAGTGTGTTTTTCATTTTCAGAAGTTGTAATTGTCTTTTCATTATAATATCTCTTTCTCTGGAGACATTTTTATGCATATCCTGTATTTATTTAAATTTCTTTAAGTTGTTTTTCACTTTCTCTGGCACCTCCCTGAGTAGCTTAATAATCAACCTTCTGAATTCTTTACCTAGCAATTCAGAGATTTCTTCTTGGTTTGGAGCCATTCCTGGAGAGCTAGTGTTATCTTTTAGGGGTGTTAAAGAAACTTGTTTAGTCATATTGCCAGAATTCTTTTCTGGTCCCTCCTCATTTGGGTAGACTGTTTCAGTAGAAAGATCTAGAACTCAAGGGCTGCTGTTCAGATTCTTTTGTCCCACAGGGTGATCCTTGATGTGGTGTTCTTCTGCTTCCCACAGGGATGGGGCTTCCTGAGAGCCAGACTGCAGTGATTGTTACTGCTCTTCTGGGTCTAGCCCCTCAATGAGGCTAGTAGGCTGTGGGCTCGTTCTGAGGAATGTCTGCAAAGAGTCCTGCAAAGAGACCTGTTTGTCTTCAGGTCTTCCAGCCATGGATACCAGCACCTGCTCCAGTGGAGGTAGCAGGGGCATAAAGTGGACTCTGTGGGAGTCCTTGGCTGTGGTTTTGTTTAGCGTCCTGTTTTTCTCAAATGCTGGTTATGCTAGCAGTGATGCTGTCACAAGGACAGACTCAGGACCTCTGGTTAGCCAGGGTGGTGCAGGTGATGGAATTAGCTGTGGTTTTCTCTTCTTTGGATCAGGGTTGTCTGGTATGAGCTGCTGTAATGGCTTAAGTTGGTTGGCCTCCAGCCGGGAGGTGGCACTTTCAAGACAGCACTAGCTGCAGTGGTAGAAGGGGCATATACACTTGCCCTACATTGTCCAGGATAAGTACTCGGGTTTCTCAGGTGATGGGTGGGGCCACAGAACTCTCAAGAGCTTATGTCTTTTGTCTTTGGCTACCAGGGCAGGCAGAGAAAAATGATTAGGTGGGGGCAGAATTAGGTGGGTCAGAGCTCAGACTATCCTTGGGCGAGGCTTGCTGTGGCTACTGTGGGGAATGGGGGGTGGTTCACAGGACAATGCAATTATGTTCTCAGGGTGATTTTGGCTGCCTCTGCTGCACCATGCAGGTCACCAGGGAACTAGGGGAAAGCTGGCAGTGATAGGCCTCACCCAGCTCTCATGCAACAAGGCCAGTCTCACTCCCTCCATGCCTCACTAACAGCACCAAGTTTACATCCAGGCAGCTGGGGAGCAGGGCTGAGATCTTGCCCCAGGCTACAAGTCTTCCTGTTGAGAAAGCAAGCATGGTTCTAAGGCCTCACCCCTTACCCCTACCCCTCCACCCACACTCTTGGCTGCAGTTTCTGTACTCATATCTGCACTTCCCATTTGTGCCCCTATTTCCCCTCTCCCCACTGCTAGATTCTGCTCAGAAAAATTTGTGCTCAGTCAAAATTATTACAAAATTCCACTGGAAGCTTTCTTCACCCCGTGTCCCCTCCTGAATTCCACTAGCTGCCTTCCTCCAAGGACCCCTGTGAGATAAAGCCAGGAATGGCTTTTCTGGGCTGAAGCTGGAGACTGGGAGTGCCTATAGGGCTCTTCCCACTGCTTCTTCTATGTTTATATTTCACCCAGCTCCTTAAATCCTTTTCAACTCTAGGTATGATTAAATCCTTCTCCCATGACCTGGATTTGCAGGTTCCCCGGTGGCAATGTGTGTTCAGAGGCAGACGTTTCCCCTCCTCTCACACTTTGGGAACTCACAGTTTTTTAGCTGTCTCATGGAGTTTGGAGTGGCAAGTCACTTTTTTCAAAGGGTCTCTGAATTCTTTTGGTTTTTCTGGTATTTTCCTGAGGGAGTTCTTGGAGCAAAAATTCACAACGTGAGTCTCCACATGCTGTTTGGTTTATCCAAGTGGGAGCTGCACTTTAGTCCTGTCTCCTATCGGACAATTTTCCCTAAATATTCCAAAGTACTCCCATTTGCCAAGAAGTTTTATAGTCATTTTCATGAGATACCTGCAAAGAAAAAAGAGGCCAAAAATTAATTTTACTCATAGATATATTTTTAGGTTAATAAAATTTGTTTATACCTTTTATCCTCCTCATCACGAACTGTTAGGATACAGAAATTGTGCTTAGAGATACACAGAACTTGTATTCATAACACTATTTACATTTTTATTGTAAAAGGAGTAACAATAAGGACATTTTAAAGGAGAAAAATTATCTCTAATCCCAACACGACATCAAAACAATTTATTTTTACTATATCCCTCATCCTATCTTAGTTTATATAATTGCAATCATAGAACACATAAATTTTTATAATCTGCTATTTCACTTAATTCCCAGTTGTAAACATTTTCCATGTTGATGTATAATTTTTATTTTTTATTGCATTTTTGGTACAAATCGACAATTTTTCTGGCAGAGTTCATCAAATACTGCAACATAGTCAGTCCTCTAGTAATTTAAATACGCATTTGTTTTCAATTTTGTGTTATTTCAAGAAAGTTGCTGTAGATATCATGTAAACATTTTTTTTTTCTTAAAATGAATGCCCAGTACCAAGATTTGTTACATAAAGGTAAGAACATTTCGTGGCCTTTGGCCCAAACCATTCATTGGCAGCTCTGGATGAGCCCTTACTGTAAGCTTTGCCAGTTCTCCTCTCCTCAATCTGAGGCATGACTTCTTTGGGATCCTAAAGTCCTCTTGACTCTCCTGCTCCCTATCCGCTCCCAGGCCCAGCCCAGGCAAATGAAGAATGCTGACCAGCAAATCCCAGTCAACTTCACACTTCATTATTTTATCTCTGCCCTTCTTCCTTTCAAAAGAAATGCCATTTCTTGTTATGAATGTGGTGTGTATGAGCCTCAGTTGTTTGGGGTACACTTTTAAAAATTCATAACCATGGCTACCTAGCAAGTTATCTAAACTATGGGTGTGACTGATGTACCTGCTGGGCTAATACTACTCCACCCATATTGAATAGGGCTTGGTGGGGAACAAAGAAGAGAAATACAGGAAAGTTCTTTCTAAATAGCAATGGTACCTGCAGAAAATGGAATTACTATGCTATGCCTTTAAATCTGCCTTTATGTACGTGGTATCTTGAGAAATATATATTTAGCCTTTGTCCCAAGTTCATAGCACAGAGCACCTAAAACCCTAGAAATTTCCTGAATAAGATTAATAGGGGCTTCTTTTGTTTTATTATTCATAAAAAAGCCCTTTACACCATACTGAAGTTTATGCTAATGAGGTAACTCTTGGTGGGCCCCAAGATAGCATCAGGATGGGGACTGGACACTGGGAAGACCATGCCATGACTAGAGGACTGGAACTGCAGCCCCACTCACTGGCCTCCTGGAAGAGGAGAGAGGACTGGAGAATGAGTGCAATCACCAGCTGCCAATGATGTAATCAATCATGTCTACATTAAAAAAAAAAAACTCTAAGTAACAGGGTTGAGGGAGATTCCAGTGCTGGGAGGGTGGAACACCCAGAGAGGTCATGGAGGCTCCGACTTCCTGAGTTGTGTTGAAGAAAAGAGTCAAACTCTATAAAACATTTCAAGAGATTTATTCTGAGCCAAATATGAGTGACTGATGGCCTGTGACACAGCTCTCAGGTGATTCTGAGAACATATGCCCAAAGCAGTCAGGGCATAGTCATAGCTTTATATATTTTAGGGAGATATGAGACATCAAGACATCAATCAATACATGGAAGACACATTGGTTCAGTCCAGAAAGGTGGGACAACTCAAAGGCAGGGAGCCTTCCCGGTTATAGATAGCTTGAAATTTTTTCTGCTTGGAAATTGGTTAAAACAGTTATTTTCAACAGAAAGGAATGTCTGAGTTACTGTAAGTGGTTGTGGAGACCAAAGTCTTATCATGCAGATGAAGCCTCCAGGTAGCAGGCTTCAGAGAGAATAGTCTGTAAATGTTTCTTATCAGACTTAAGGTCTGTGTTGATGTCAAATGTTGGTTGGCTTTTCCTGAACTCCAAAAGGGAGGGAGGGATAATGAAGCGTGCCTGACACCTCTTCCCATCATGGCCTGAACCAGTTTTTCAGGTTAACTTTGGAGTGCCCTGGCCGATAGGAGGGGTTCATTTAGATGGCTAGGGAGCCTTAGAATTTTATTTTTGTTTTACAGTTGTTTTACCTAAGTTTTATCCTTTATAATAAATACTAACAGCAAATAAAGTGCTTTCCTGTGTTCTATTATTTGTCAAAGTAAATTGTTGAACCTGAGGGGGATCTTAAAAATGCTAAAATATGCAGTCCACTAGGCAGAGGTGGGAGTGTCCTGGAAACCCCATTTCCATCTGGCATCTGAAAGGGGAGAGTCTTGTGGGACCAAGCCCTTTGATTTGTGGGATCTGACACTAACTTCAGGTAGAGTAGTGTTGAAAAAGATGCCACGTGTTTGGTCCTAAGGGAAAGAATCTCTCAACATGTTATTCCATTTTTTAAATTCTTTGCAATCCTAGGCAATTTTCCCCAGGCTGGTATTTGTTGAAAGTAGTTTTCCATTACAACTTTGATAAAAAAGAAATTCCATAATCATTCCAAAAAAATTGGCTCAGTAATGTAGAACAGTTCTTCTCAAACTTACATGTGCATGTGACTCATTTGGAGGATCTTGTTACAATGCAGATTCTGCAAAGCACTTACAACTCAAAGTGTGACCCATGATCAGCAGCATCAGCATCATGTGGGAGAATCTCAGAATCTATCCTAGACCTACTCAACCAGAGTCTTCCTCTTAACAAGATCCCAAGATGATTCACATGCACAGCAAAGTTTGGGAAAACCCGGTCTCAGCCTCAGTTTTCTTGTCCCTAAATGCTTTCTACCTGGAACACAGTACATATGCAATGAGTGGAAGCTACTATAGAAATTGCTTCACGTTCAGTGTTCAGATTAAGATGAGCATTGCTTATAAGTGAACACAAAGTAACTGCTCATGGGTTTGAGATTTTGTGAGCAGGTACAGGGATGGACTGTAAACTTGGTGCTCTGTGTAGGCTCTGCATATTCAGCACAGGAGGACTCAAACTGCAAAGGTAGCTGCTTGGCTCTGGGGAAGAAGGGATATCCAGGAAGTTCTATTAAGCTGAACATAAAAAATGTCCTTCTCAGGGGCACCCTACGAACCCTATTAGGTGAAATGAGGCTGCAGCCATAATGCCTGAGACATCAACTTATAATCTCAGTCTCCAGGAAGGTAGAGCTGGGCAGAGGCTGGCTTGAGCCTCCTGTTTGTCCCTCCAGACCAGGCCCTACACCCAGGAGCTGGCCAGTGTCAAACATATGCTCACCACTCAACCTCTCTCAGCTGCAGCTCAGGACTTCCAGAAGCAACTGTCTCATCATGATCCCCTCTTTATTTTCATTACAATAATCTTTTTGGCCAAATACTTCTTCAGAGTTAAATCTAAAAAGTAAATGGGACCGTTGACTGTAATCTAAGGCTTTAGGACTGTAGCCTTAGTCTAACCACTTATGCATGCAACTGGGTCATGTGACCATAGGCTCAGCCTCACAAAATAATTGGAGACCCATCCAGATTTGAGGCAAGGGGGATTTACGCAGGTCCTGCTCAAAAATAGGAAACATCAAATATCCTTTGTCCTTTCCAAGCTCTGATTTTGCTATGATCTGAATGTTTGTGTCTACACAAAATTCATATGTTGAAATCCTAACATCCAAGGGGATGATATTAAGAAGTGGAGCCTTTTGGGAGACAACTAATACTTCTGAATTGGATTAGTGCCCTTATAAAATAGGTCCAAGGGAGCTCATTAGCCCTTTCCACCATGTGAGGCCACAGTGAGAAGACACCACCAATGAACCAAAAAGTGGGCCCACACTAGACACAGAACTGCCAGTGCCCTGATCTTGGACTTCCCAGGCTCCAGAACCATAAGACATAAATTCCTGTTCTTTACAAACCACCCAGTCTACTCAGCTATCTCTGCCTGAACAGACTAAGAGATTTCTGAACATATTGTGATGTTGGAGTTAATCAAACATGGTTGTAAATGCTTGCTCTGTCTATTTCTAACTGTGTATCCTGTGGAAAGTTCCCTCACCATTTTATAACTTGTGTGTCTCACCTAATAAAACAAGGACAACAATAGTTATTCCAAAAGACTATTGGAAGAGTTAAAGAGAAAGCATAATTATAGTAGTAGCTAACATTTATTCAGGGTATAAAATGAGCCGAGTTCTGTACACAGCTCTTTACACTGATTCACTCATTCACTTGGTGCATATTCATTAAATACCTACCATGTATTGGGCATGGTTTTCTGGGGTCTAGAAGAATAACAACAATAGTTAATATTATTGAGTGTTTACTATGTGACAGGCACATTCTAAAGAAGTTGTTTCTGAACAGTTCACATTTCTAACAGGTTAAATTTTCACAATTGCTCGTGTGAATTATTTTGTTTAATCATTGCAATTATCTAATGAAGTAATATGTTCCCCATTTTTACAAATGAGGAAACTGAGGTATAAATGTAAGTAATTTGTGCAAGGTCACCCTGCTAGTCCATGGAGTCCCCAGAGATCAGATTGTAAAATATTGAGCTATACTGTGTGATATTTGAGGTTAAACTCTAAGAAATGCCAATTTCCCACCACTTTTGATCTATACAAACAATTTTATGTTTTTCCTAATATTTTAAGGAGAATTTGTAGAGACTGAGACATAAGCAACCTGCAGTGAAACATCTTTTGCCTTCTGTTTTGTTTTTCTGTTTTGTTTTGCTTTGCTTTTATCTTTGGACTGCCTTTCTGTCATATTCCCCAGACCCAATCTTGACTTTATGCCCCAAACCCTGTATCAAGCCTCTGCCTTCCTTTATGTCCTAGAGTTGTGTCCTGAGATAGGCTTCTACCTTTCTCCAGCCCATCAGACCTCTTGACTCAGCCCCCAGGGATTAGAGTCCCTGCACCTTGCATTAATACTAAAACCATAGTAATACTAACATGAA